CTTTACATTTTGCAGGATCCAGGGTAGAAAAGGAACTCCTCACAGAATGTCACAACACGACGGACAGGCGCATGGGGGATGCTTGCCAGATTAGGATTCCAGCCTCCTGGAAAAGAACTACAAAAAACAAAAGTAGTAAACATCCGAAAACCCTCTATTATAAACCCTATGAAGCTGTGTACGTTTGCATATTACAGGACATGCTAGAGGAATTGGTGCGAGGTTTATGAATTTGAAAAACTCCTGAAAATTCATCTTTCCAGAGGCTAATAGATGCATTATCCTTGATACAGAAATGTTTTTGACCAATGAAATGCCTTGACGTGCAACACATCAAGCAGAAGCGGAAGGCAATGCCCATTTTACCCTTTAATTGTTTTTTTTTGTTTTTTTAAGAGCAAAAGGATGCAAAGTGGGTCTTTGTGGATGGGAAAGCATGAGAGTTTGATTTATCAGTAAAATGTGATACATGACAGCTACTACTGCTGCTGGGATTGGCTAACAGCTCGACATGAGAAGGCACATGCCGCTTCATTTAACCAATCAGCTCGAACAATTATACTTAATGTCCTTACCTTTTTCAAACACTTTGAACAGGAGCCTTTTTCAGATGGATACTGTGTTGAATTCTAACTGAACTATACTTATCAACCTGGCTTATTCCAGGTTACATCAGGAGGTCCCTATGCTAAATGAGCTATTGATAAATAGCATCCTGCTTCCTTGCTGCCAGCACTATTTGGACTGCACTTATTATGGCAACAGCTGAAACACTTAAGCCTTATGAAAAGATGATAATTCCCCCCTAGTGGTCAGAAGAACTTAAGCTATGCTAATATGTAACTTTTCTTAACTTGAAGTTGTTTTTGCCTCTTGCAGCATTTTTTCTTTGCATGTTTTGTGCTATTGTGTGTCAATTATTGGTTTGAAGAGTTTTTCAGGTTTTTCTGTCTTTGCATCTGATAAAAGACAGGGGACGACCAACAGGGCATGTCTCTCCAAATACAGGTGTCAAGTGACAAAGTACAAATACTTTATTACATTACTTAAGTAGAAATTCTGACTATCTATACTTTACTGGAATAATTATTTTTTTTTTAGACAACTTTTTATTTCTACTCCTTACACTTTTTTTTAGTTCTCTACTTTCTACACCTTGCTTTTTGAAAATGGACTTGTTGGTTTTGTTTCATTTAATGCCCAATTTTCATTATAGCCTGATTGGTATAAAAAAAAATAAATAAAGACCATCAAAATTGTTTAATCTACAAATAAAATAATTTCTTTATGATTGGACACAGCGCTGCACCAACATGTTGTTCACCACATACCAAAATAAATAGTTTTTCAAGATGATTCAAGGATAAATTTGACCGTTATCATTCAGAATTGTAGACAAATGTTCCTTTAACAGGCTTGTGCAGTAACCAGTGTAAGGTTTAAAGCATCTGTTCTGCATTACGTTTTTACTTAAAACTGGTATTTTTATACTTTTGAGTAAAAAGCTCAAGTTGATACTATTACTACTACAAGTGTTTTTAAACAGTAAGATTTATACTTGTACTTGAGTAATAAACTTAAATTTTTTGACACCTCTGTCTCCAAATCATTTGGACCTCAGGCAGCTTGAATTCTTAAATAGTTAGATTATAAATTGAAGTTCTTTGAATAAAAGGTTGGACCGAGCTACAGTCGTTTTCTTGTTTCTTTCTCCCAGGAAAAAACGTTTTGGACATCTCTGGTTCAGGAAAATTTAACAGGATTTCACCAGATAAACCCATGTCCCAGATACAGCTCACAGGATTTGGAGCAACAAGGTTTTAATTGTAGCTGTTGCTTGTGCATATTTGTTTACCAAATCTTTTCTATCTTCTTAACTCTCCATAAATATAACTGAACATGGACGTCTGTAAATAGTCAGATTCTTCACCAGTGGCCTTTTGAGGCTGACTTCTCTTGACATAACTGGACAAGTTCCAGGTCAGCAGTCTTCCTGAAGGTCTTTTATTTGGATTTATGTTTATAATCTAATTTTCTGATAAAGATTTAAAGCTTTCAATAGCTTTAACACTGTATATCACTCAATTAGTCTATTAAACAGTTTGACTATTTGTCATTTCTAACGTTGACGTTTAACAGTGGACATCTTACTGCTGCAGAGGGATCATAAAACCGCTGTACGGTCAAGACCTAAAACTTTATATGATATAAGCTTTCAAGCATTTTTTAACTGTTATTTTGAAAAGGAAAATTACATTTTAAACTACATTTGAACTGGGAAAAAAGCTAAGAGATGAAATGGTTTACCAGTTACTTTTCTAAAACGAGGAATGGAAAAATTCAGTCACTTAGTTTTTAGAGTATCAGCCTTCACCAAATGTTTACAATTTAGCAGGACAGTTACACAAAATATAGGATTTTTTTTTTTATCCTCACTCAAACGCTTGATGTTTTTTTTCATAATTAGCATAAAAAAGACAAAAAGAATTTACTATGAACACTTTTATTAAAGAGATCACAGTTAGAAAAGGTCATCAGCAGAGGCAAAGACATTTCACCACCGTAACCAACTGCTGCTGACAACCTATCAGTCCCTCCGAGATCAACGTTGTGCAGCTAATCTGCACAACTCAAAGCAAGAGTGCCTTAAAAACATTTTAAAAGGATATGCATGTCATGGGACCGCGTTACATTTGCACACTGCAGGTTTAAGCACATGGTTAGGAACCAGTGCAGCTTGTTTGTACTGTGGGACAAAAAAACACTTCAATAAAAAGAGATGAACGCATAAGTCAAGAGGGAAGCAGAGCGGCCTTGAAATGCCGCAAAGACGATCACAAAATTGATTCTTAATATTCACTCTACTGAGATTAACGTGTGCAGTTTAGAATATGACAGCGCTGGGAATATGATCACGGAAGGTAGAAATCTCTCCGATAGGACTGTTCCACTTAAACATGAGAATTCATCTGCTTCAGATGTGTAAAAAAAAAAATAATCTTGATACTGTCTCATGCCGTTTAATGAAGAGGATGAGGGGTATAATTCCTCACATTTCAAAACTGACTTTAAATTCAAGTGAAATGATTACACAGTCTCAAGAAGTCATTGTGTGTGGAGGTTCAAATAAACTTAGAGATGCTTCACTGACCAAACTGAGAAGTTTGTCAAACATCTTTCAGTTTCCTATTAAAAGTCAGTTACTTTAAAAAAAAAAAAAGATTCCACTGTGCAATGACTAGTGTAGGAGCACAAAGTGACGAAGAGGAGCCACTGTTCCCAGTGTGGTTCATGTCTGCAGTCTTTTAACACGTCTAATGATTTCTGCAGGAGCCAGAAGACGTGTCAGCTGATCTTAACACAATTAGCATTAGCACACGTTTGAGAACGCGGTCTTTCCCTAACTCGGGACCAATCTGCACAGTTACATTTGTGTTTATCTTGACAGATGTGAGCAGAGTCTGAAAGTTCGGACAGAAAGAAAGAAGTCTTTATTCATACTGACGCATTTCCGTACAGATATCAAATAATTTCCTGATCCAAAGCGTTGTTTTGGCAGCTGCTTTTCCAACTCAACATCTCAGCTGTTCCCTTCTGCCAAAACCCCTCAGGAATAAACAGAAAGCAATTGAAAGACCAAAAATAGGAGGACAGCTTGTCTGTCAGTGTCTGTTTAGGTCCATTTCCCATATGTAACTGATACTTCAAGTATTTTATTTTTTTCAATCTTTGTACGACTTGTCTGCATGACATGCAAAAATGTTTTGCAGCTGGAGGAGATTGGCAAGAGGAGAGGAACTAAAACACCTGCTGTGAGATGACAGGAGAAGGAAATGGGTTGACATGTGAATATACTGACTGCTGCATGACATCAGGAGGTAAATGTATGAATGGAACATCAGCTTAATTGCTGTGGGTGGGATGGGATGGGGTGGGTTAAAAGGTTTTCCGAGTGAAGCAGTACAAAGGATGAAGTAAGGTTGTAGGGAGGGGGGGATTGAAGCCACGCCCCCCTCTATGTCCTATCGGTCCATTTCGTCTAGCAGCGGTGTGGCATCTCCAGGCAGCGACATTGGCGTGCTCTCGATCATGGGGCTGGGTGAAGGTCGTGGCGTCATCCTCTGGGATTTCTTCCTGTCCTCTGCTTCTTTCTCCTTGAGCCACTGCTCCGCCATCTTGCCCCAGTCCACTGCCGAAGAGGAGGTGCTGCTGCTTGGTCTGTAGGGGAAGGAAGAGGACAGAGGGGGATTGTCAAGACAAGGTGGAGCGTTGATCTACCACCACTGCCACCTAGTGGCAGAAGAGCCAAACTATAAGAAAACAGGCTCAATACAAAGATCTTCTTCGCCTCAAAGTTGAATAAATAAAAATGCTTAAAATATTGGGAAAATATTAAATCAATTAAACATTTCTTTTTTTAGTGGTTGAATCCCAGAATCTGGCTCCTTGGAAGTAAATCTCAAAGGACACGGTCAGTGAGCCTAACAACAGCTATGATGAGCTGAAGTTGTCCAGGAGGTTTATTATGTCACTGTGAAAGCAGAGTATGATGCTTTTACACTGCTGTAAAACAAAATCCCTGTAGCCTTAACCTAGCCTGTATGCTCATTGAGGATTTTGTTTCTTCTCTTATTTTGCCTTCAAAGAAAAGTTCCTCTGAACAATGTGTTTGATTTTTCGATTAAGAGGATGTTTTTTGTTTTGTGGAGTAAAACTTTTCCATTACTATGGCTTGGTGAGGCTGCAGGGAGCGACTTCGAAACAAACCAGTATCTTGAAATATTTAATT